TACCTTGGGGGAACTAAACTCCACCAGCAGTGGTTGTAAATAAACTCATCATAGATACCAGGATTGAAATTTTATATTTGCGCCAGACGCGCGTTTCGTCTACAAAAGACTCATCCGTGACGCTCGAATCAAAAAATGTTAAAAAGGCCAAATAAAGTACGAAGTTGAAGAGCATTGAGGACCAAAAATTCCAAAAATTTTTGCCAAATACAGCTAAGGTAATCTATTCCTGAGGTAGAAAAGCCTCATTATTTCATAAATTCAAAGTTTTGTTAACAGTTTATTTGTAATTATGAACATATCAATGATAACTAAAGTCAACACAGAAGTGCTGCCTACTGGGCTGGTATTACCCTCGGGGAATTAAAACTCCACCAGCAGTGGCATCGACCCAGTGGTTGTAAATAAACTCATCATAGATACCAGGATTGAACTTTTATATATGCGCCAGACGCACGTTTCGTCTACAAAAGACTCATCAGTGACGCTCGAACCAAAAAATGTTAAAAAGGCCAAATAAAGTACGAAGTTGAAGAGCATTGAGGAACAAAAGTTCCTAAACGTTTTGCCAAAATTAAATTTGAGGAACTAGATTTTACAAAGTAAACACAGAATGGAAACTTTTGTTTGTTTCTTCAATAAGTGAAGGTGAAAAAAAACTGTCAAAATAGGTGCAAACTTGGTACCCTCACGTTATATAATGGGATAATTTTGGTAATTTTTTTATCCTGAGGTACCTGAAATAAAATAAAAAAAGTAACGATTACGTAATCAGTTTTAACATCACTTTCAAGATTAAATTTATTGTCTTTCACTTTTGTGAATCTGTTAAAATAATCTAGCAGAATCGACAGCTTCTTTTGCAGAGTTTTCTTGCGACAAACTTTTCTTGTTCTACACTATCCTCACAGTTACCAAATTCTTTTGTTGTTCTACAAAATGATGATCCCTCACTGTCTCTAAGTGAAACTGCATCCGTGCACTGATAAACTAAAATATTAAACACATTTTGAGAAGAAAGTATTCGCAACTGCCATAAGCATTTATTTATCCTGATATCTGTGATTTTTCAGTTTATAAATTATGTAATTTTATGAATATTGATACGTGTATCGGTTGAACGATATCTTTTATTTTTCTATCAGAGTTAATTAAGTGTTTTCAAACATCAGACATTTCATTTCATTCCCCATTAGTGACAATCCAAGTATATCAGCGGCAAGGCTATCGTATTGAGATATTATATAACATGGGCGTTTTATGAGATTTCAATGTGTAAGTCGATTTGTAGATAATTTAGACATTCACATTTAGGACAAATAATTAATATTTTTTTGTGAATATAGTACACAGAAAATGCACATAACTTTAAAGTGTGTTACAACGACCAATGTTTGCGGGGAAAAAACTATGAAACGCTTCATTAACATTTATGTATCAATGCTATGGACAATCGGATTCGAATTTTTAATTTGAAATAAGATTTACGGAATACGCATATGCATGGTTAATTGGACTTGAAATACAGCTTGTATTTAATGTTTTTTTTAGACATGTAGGACTTACTGTTTGTATTTTTGTTTGACTGCAGATTAAAACGATAGGAATACAAAGTTGTAACCTGACTATTTAGTTATATGCCCAAGTTATACAATATTTTACTTCCACGGACAAAGTTGAACTGTCTACAACTTCATTGTATTAGTCAAGGACGATGTCTTTTGAGAGTATAACAATAGAATGGAGTCAAACTACAACACAGTTAATTACCACATGTTCTTACAAACTTGAATGCATTTAGTTAACACTCACTAGGTATGCAACTAGGTTTATCGCCATCCTTGTTTTCTTTGCAAATTTCTTTTTCGTCACATGTATGATTTACACAATTACCACTAAGACCCTGAAACAGATTTATTGAAAAGAATGAAGTAATATTTCAAGTTAAATATATACTTAGGTGAAATAAAAAAAAACTAGGATTTAAAATTGATACTATAAGTCAGAAGAGCAATAGTTAAGGAACAAAATAAGCTAAAAATATTATGGAATTCCTTTTTGAGATATTTGATTTTTAAAAAATGGCGGGATTAGGCTGACTTGGACTTTTACCTTATATTTAGCATTGGCATAATTTGGGTCTCAAATCGTAAGAAAAAAATCTGAAATCTGCTTAAATTTTGGAAATGACATTTTTATGAACTATTGAAGTCTTCTATGAAAAGAAAAGTGGGTGATATAGAGCAAATTATTTTACCCTGTATGGTATGAACAAATCCAAGTCCGAGTCCGAACATCTGACAAAAATTCATAAACTTGACCTGACTACATTCTTAATTTAATTTTTGAATAACATTCGTAATGTCTACTTGTAAAATTCAAAGCCAAACTTTAAGAAATAAGAATAAATATAGCATATAACCTTGCAAAGGTCACTACATTCGCAACGGCGATCAATTATCGTATTACAATACATGTACGATACGAAAGCTTTATTTAAATTCGGTATAGTTATCATCTATAAAAAACAAGCTCTAGATGGCTTTCAAGCAAATATATACAAACATATACAACAACATAAAAAAACTCTCATGCAAGCAAACTAAAAATAGAGAAAGCACACGTAAAAGTAGGCACAACACAAACATGGCAAATCAAATTATACGTGCTAGCATAAATATAAAAAAGAAAACAAAGTAATGTAAGCACATTGAAATAAATGTGTCATGGAATGCTCCGGTGGTAAGCCTGAAGCTTTATATCTAATGTGCTATTTCTATGAAAAGAAAGAAAATATATGGATATACTACATATACTACTATACTACTATACTACTACAACAACTACTTCATTTGATACTTCTACTATTTTACTACAGTACTACTTCTACTACAATACAGAAGTCTCTTCTACTGCTAACATTCCTACTACTTTTTAACTGCTGAATGCAAACAATTTACCTTAGGTATGTCTTTCCGTTCTATGTAGGTGTAGTCTCCAGTAATATCAGTCTTCAGTGGATCAATGTACTGATCAGCTTCTGCAAGGAGTACATCTTTATCATTTATATGACACATCTTTTGTCCTCGGTGAAAATTAATTGACATGCATTGTTTAATTGAAAGACAGATGGTTGCACATTGGTAAAGCGTAGGCATTTTAAATTTCATAATTTGCGATCCCTCTAACATTCCGCTAAACAGTTTCATTGTTGCAATCGAGTTAGTTCCTACATTAAAAATCGCAAATAAAAGATATAAACAAGTAAAGTTGAAGTATTTCATGACTAAAACTATCTTGCTTTCTTTCTGTTCACGCAACAATTTCTTAGAATAAAGGTAAAGGTCTGGTTGGTCAATCTACATTTGTATAAACTGCTATGCATCTTCTATACCAATCAGTGCATTATAAAATTGTCAATCAATAATTGTTTGAAGCTGAATAAATTCTATTTTAAAAGGTTTTCTTTGAAAATAAATCTATATCATTGTATCTTATTAACCATGATAGCAAGAAAATTAGAAAATATAGACAAAATAGTAACAACTTCGTAATTTAATTTGGTACAGTTTAAATGTCAAATTGATATCATGTACTTCGCATGTTATCAAAATTGAAAAAAAATCTGATACAGAAGAAAAACAATCTGTATTCACTTATTACTTTCAAAATGAAGTTTCATGGTCACATAAGATGCTTATAACATTTATCTTATAATATGAATTTCTTCCCCAAATTTTGTTGCCTTTATTCTCAATGAAATATGTCGTTTTTCTATTTACTGATACTCCTCCCTAAGAATATAAATAGTAAAAAATGAAAATGAATTACTTCATGGTTAGATGTATTAATAAATCTGTATTTTTAACATGTTACAAGCATTTGTTAAATTCAGGCATTATGCAAAATTTCTAAACATTTAAGTGATTTTCTAAAATACCTGTAAGATTCAGGCATTTTATTCATTAACTAATTTCATGAGCATTTTCTAAAATGCCTTAAATAATTACATACATGAAATGTTCACAAAAACTGAACCTAAGAAAGTCTTTATCAACAAAACAGTAAATTCTATCATAAAACCTTAGCATGCATTTTAAGAGTTTCACTGTTAAAACTGAATTTTACTGATTTATTAACAATTCTGGTCTCTGTATTAGCACTACAATCACGTTTGCTAAAATCCTGACCATCTCACTTTTAGCTCTGTCAACACTATTTCTGATAAAACACTAAACTTTATAAAGACAAAGGTTTCTGCAAACAGCACAAACATAATTATCTTCTTCTATATCCTGTATTCCCGAAATATTCGAAATAATATTAGCATTATAATGTATTCTTACTTGGTTAATACACAAAATCTGACTTGGGAATAGTAAAGGGCACTGAACCGACCGCCAGTAAAACCAATGATAGCATTGTGAATCAGTTTGACAGTTCTGGATGTATAAATTCACATCCTATCTGAATGAGAACTATAATTCTGGTGATTAAACATGTTAAAATTTATTTGAAGGTTGGTAGGTGATGTATTGAAAGGCAGTATATTCGTCCCTATCCAACCGTATATACCCTCTTTTCCATCAGTCGCCAACATTACTGTCCATAATCCCGTTCAATTGTAACATAACTGAACTTTTTTTGTGGACTTAAAATTAATGTGTTTAAATGTATATTAGGCCAAAATATGCATGAAATACTTGCTACTGAACTTTGAACGAACAACTTAAACAATCATGCAATCAATGTTTTCTTAGCTCCACATAACACACTTCTGTTTTGAATCCAAATTTCCTGACAATTTGCTTATTTTAATCTTTGTTCTATTGCAATAATAATGTACCCTTCTGCCATCATGAGATGGGTTTTTAGTTAACTTTATCGTTTTATACAAATTACATGAAACTGAAGAGGTATTATGTGTATTTTTGTTTTAAATTTCAATCACTTAACAAACTGACTTGATAAGTTTAGTCATTTTATATAACACCCTCCACCGTCTGTATCCTCAAATGAAGGATTTAAGGCTTCATTGTGATCTAAATGTTCCATTAAAGTAGGTTCTAGATGTGTAGAGTCAATCATGATTCCATTTGATTTGACAGTGAGAGATTTGTGTCCTATAACATCCATTGCATAAACAAGACTCTCGATTTCTGCTCCTGCATTGAGAAAATGTTGATTATCATACATATTCATCATGATGAAAATTTGTTATATTTTCTTTGTATACCCTAATATATAATATCTTTATCTTATAATAAATATCTTTTGAACATTGTGAACTAGAAAACTTGTTAAATTGATTCTTCTCAATGCAACTTCTTAATGACTTTAAAAAAAAATGAACGCCTGGTAATTTTGCACTAGTATAATACACTCGGTTTTATGGTACTCTTTTGAATTTATAGACAAATAGTTGTTAATTTGTATATTTTATCTGTAATTTTATATCAACATAATTACCTGTATCAATGTGTGAACTGTTGATGATCCTGGACACAGAATGATGAATTCCAACATTTTCCCAGTCTCTGACATCACATGCGGAAGTTTTCGATTTGGTTTGAACACACCACATGTAATGTGCTATTCCAGAATCTCGGTCAGAAAATCCATTCCACGAAGCCCCGGTAATTTCCGAGTTGTTCTGGTAATCAATGTCGTGTACACCTATTGGTGAAAAAATATAGCAAGTGTGTGAAATTTTGTATACAACACCAATATTATCTAGAAGTTCAATATTATTAAACAACAGTTAAACAAATATTTACATTGTATCTACTGATTTTTAATGTATTCTTTTTTTTCTTCTCTCTGATAGTCCCTTGATTGATTTTAAAGGCTGCAGGCGAGATCTCAAAAACTAGTGTAACCCAGAAAAATATCACGTGCCTGTCCCCAAGTCAAGAACACATCTCGTGAAGTGTTGTCCTTTTTTTGCATATACTAATGGTATGTTTGTCACTTGGATGGCAGCTTTTTGATATATTCTGTAATTTATTCACACTTTCCTTAAAAGAGAGACGAAATATATAAAAAGGGATATTCAAAGTCATAAGTCATACACAAACTGAAAATGCCATGAAAAAAAAAAGAAAAACAATAAAAAAAAAAACCAAGAGTACAAAACACAACATAGAACACTAAAAACTGATTAATTTCAGTTTCATAGCTTAGCATACTGTTTAAAATGTCTGTCTATTGTTGGTTAGGACAACAATCGTATACTAACTTCTTTTTTCATTATAAAACATGACATCTGAGTATAGATATTATAATCCATTTAGGTTAATGTCAACGAATGTACCCTTTCCAAAAAATATACTTCAATGACTATGTAATTACACACACAGTTTGCGTTGGAACTTAATATTCCTCAATTGATCATGTAAAGTAACTTTGAAAAGATACAGAAAAATAAATTCTCAAAGACTAACTATAATTCTGTATAACGAATGTCGATAACAAATACTATTAAACACTATTTTAACGACAGAATTCTATGATACGTATATGTAGTCTATATGTGATCCACATAGCTTAGCATACTGTTTAAAATGTCTGTCTGTTGTTGGTTAGGACAACAATCGTATACTAACTTCTTTTTTCATTATAAAACATGACATCTGAATATAGATATTATAATCCATTTAGGTTAATGTCAACGAATGTACCCTATCCAAAACATATACTTCAATGACTATGTAATTACACACACAGTTTGCGTTGGAACTTAATATTCCTTAATTGATCATGTAAAGTAACTTTGAAAAGATACAGAAAAATAAATTCTCAAAGACTAACTATAATTCTGTATTACGAATGTCGGTAACAAATACTATTAAATACTAATTTAACGACAGAATTCTATGATACGTATATGTAGTCAATATGTGATCCACATCGAGAATAAAATGACTTTTGTGTATCATGTTGATTCGTTTTGATAAGAATATTCTTTCCAAATATAGTAAAATCACTTATTTATATTATAAACTACCTATTCCATCATAAATAGAACCAGTAACTGGTGGCAGAGAGTCGATCATGATGCCGTCTGATGATTGAGTAGCATGGATACCAGATTAGCTGTATCCAACTACATTACTGTAAAATACTTTCCCTGGAGATAATGGTACTCGGATGATGTTATGAGACGTAATTGTTCCGGGTAGATCCAATTCCACTTCATGTATATCATGGCCTTAAAAAATATTATTGTTTAATTGAAATTATTTCCATAAAAAAACACTGGGTCTTTTTTTTTAAACCGATAAGAATGTTTGAAGGGAAGAGGGGTAAAATTAAAACTCATAAGGAAAAAAAACCACATTAATAAAAAAAGGATGAAAATTGTAAAATTAAACTATTGTTTTTGTTGTTGAAAACAGTGGTAAACTATTTTTTGACAATACAAAGAGAGTTTGTTTGGGTCATAATAATGCCAATTATTAAAAATAAAATACCTCCAGGATATGTACTAAGATACACTTTAAACTTGCCAATAATTTTGCCATCATCCTTAAACACGTGTGTCCATCTGATTGTAAAAGGAGCTCCAGGTTTGATATAATCTATATCCTTCTTCCAGTTACCAGGTATCTGCTCTACAATCTGATGTAATTGATTTGAAATTGAATAGTAACTTGTGAGTTTGAATATCTCTTTGGTATCGTTGGCCTGTAGTTTTACACAATATCATACATAAATACCTATAGCCCCTACAAGTGAGAAAAACACTGTTTTAAATATTTAACGTTATACTAACTAAACGGTTTTTTTCCCCACGTCCTCTAATTTTGAGAATCATGCAAATTTAAATCAAATGAAAGGTACAAGATGTGGTATAATCTTAAACCAAAAGATAAAGGTGTATACAAGACTTTGTAGATTTCTTGTAGATAAAATAGCGCAATATTTAAACATATGATATACGTATCGAGCAGTTTTTATGTGTTTACATTGTAGATACTATGCAAAATGATAATGTTCCGTAATATATGTAGACAACAAATCAGTAATATGCTGCTATAAGTTGTGATAAAAGTTCAACAGTCGTCTAATCTGTAATTCTACCAAACGTGTTCTATTTCATATTGTGACGCTATGACTAAGTGTGGATTTGCTGGCGGAGAATAAACTCATCATAGATACCAGGATTGGAATGTTGTACGCCAGACGCGCGTTTTGTCTAAAAAAGACTCATCAGTGACGCTCGAATCAAAAAAGTTGAAAAGGCCAAAAAAGTACGAAGTTGAAGAGTATTGAGGACCCAAAATTCGTAAAAGTTTTGCCAAATACAGCTAAGGTAATCTATTCCTGGGGTAGAAAATCCTTAGTATTTCAAAAAAGTCAAAGTTTTGTTAACAGTTAATCTATAATTATGACCATTTCAATGATATTTCATGTCAACATAGAAGTGCTGACTACTGGGCTGGAAAAAATTCCACCAGCATTGGCATCGACCCAGGGCTTGTAAATAAACTCATCATAGATACCAGGATTGAAATTTTGTACGCCAGACGCTCGAATAAAAAAAAAGTTTAAAAGTTGATGCATTCATAACAGGAGACGTTTACCGTGTTAACACACCCATTTCGCTTATGTTTGGGGTTAATGTGGTTCTCTCGGGTATTTTGTTACCTTTCTTTTTCTTCTAAATCGATTTGAACATTGGTAAACTACGGTAATATACTAGAAAGGAACACAATGATACAATAATGAAAGAATACATAAGGGATAGATCTTACAAAATGCTTTAAAAAATATAAATAAAAGGTTATAAGGAGTAACCAAATTCATTCCATACTTATATAAAACAATTGGATAAATTTGCTGTTCTTTCTGATGTAAAACAAAATAATTTGAGGTACTCCCCCCCCCCCCCCCTAGAAAGCAATTTTTTAAATGCTTGCATTGGTATCAATTAAAATATTTTCCATACTTGAGACAACATATCAATATTAAATGTGTTTAATAGTTTAATTGAAAAGTTATACACCTATTTGCAAACGGCCGGTTCATTTCTTGACCTTTCATTTTCGATCCCTGAAAGCAAATGAATCCAATTCAAATATATCTAACATTTTAATTTGTTCATGATCACTTAATGGGAACATAATACGTCTCAGAAACACTTTTTCAAACAGTCTTTAACGGCAAAATTCACAAATGTCTCGGTTTGATTTGTGTAACGACATCAATATATATTCTTTATTACTGTAGTCTCCTTTTCAATGTTGTGCTATTTAATTGTCAAGATTCTTATAATACAGATGAGAGGGCAAAATACATTTTAACTGAATATTATTTTTCTCAAAACAAAAAATGGAACTACAAACCGCCGATCCTTTTATTTTTCGTCTTGACAGAGGAGTTGACATAGCTAATATTCCATCAGTCTTAAAATCAGCAAATGTATCGTCATTATACCATACTCGTACACAAATTTAATACGATACTGGTGATTCTTTTAACAGTTCACCTATATTCAATAATCAATACTTACTACATATTTAATGAAATATAAACACCAAATGAAAATGATCACACAGTTGAATAACATAATAATATAATGAGTTGTAACTATGTATTTTAAAAATGAGATCTGGTTTATATACATTGATAAGCCAGCAATACAATAACCCCAAAATATTGGTTTTTCAAAGTAGTTTCACTTCATTTTTTTCGCAGGATCCTCATTGAAATATCGGGCTTATTGATAATACAGCATACAAATCAAAGAATTATGCATGAAATGACATAAAGAATACTTTTTATCATGTTCAACGAGCATTTGAGAATAGTTCTATAAACAGTACTTTTCATTTTATAAACATTATAGAGCATATTTGTTCACCAATATAACTGATGCCAATGATGAGGTAAACAATGTAGCTGACACTGCTGACCACTAAAGCGGTCAATCCAATTTGTCAGCAAGTTTTGTGTGAGTTTGTAATCTAAATCTATCGTTTTCTATATATTTTTATTTCTACCATTGTTAACATATTTTGCTAAATCGTTTTGTTTTCTTTTGACAACTGCTTTTTCAGTCCAATGTCGATATGACTAATTTAAATGTTTTGAAGCCCATTCGATTTTGTGGCTAATACGATTCCTTTTTCGTATCATTTTGATTATAATTCATGGTAATGATTATGGTATTGATACTTTGTATCAAGATAAATTTCATAATGGTACCTCGTTTAATGTTCAATATTGCTTGGTTTATTTGTCCCGCATGATGCCAGACATCATCGTTTAAATTATCAAAGATGCCTTCAGGTTCATCTTTGTTTGAATATCCCGCTGTCCTTTCATACCTTAAACAATATAAAATATTTAGAATACATGAATTACCTGTGTTTTTCCGCCTCTCGTTTGCAAGATGATATCTGTCTTAATCTAAGATGAATTATAATGTTTTATCAAAGAAGATTCCCTATGCTATTTGCCAATGAGAAAAGAGAAATTTTATAGTCATATAATAATATAATATAGCAAATTCTTACCAATCAGTACAGAGATTACAGAAAAAGATACTTTTGTAATATTTGCCAGCCATTTTCCAAGGCCTTGACTTCTTTAAAAAAAAACACCCAACCTTCTTAACTAAATTCGAACTTGATCTGTATCGCGTTTTGATTCATATAAAAATAAGGAGATGTGGTATGATAGCAAATGAGACAACTATCCACCAAAATTCAAATGTAGTGGATGTAAGCAACTATAGGCAACCATACGGCCTTAAACAATGAGAAAAACCCATACCGTATAGTCGGCTATAAAAGGCCCGACATGAAAAATATGAAACAACTCAATTGAGAAAACTAACGGCCTTATTCATAACAAAACAATTTAAGAAAAACAAATATGACAGACATGAACCAACCACAACCACTGACAACAGCTTTCTTTCAATATAAATCAATTGAAGCATTACAGTTTCCATTTGATAAACAACACTATGTTTACCTTTGTATACATGACAAGGTTTTTATCAGATCAACGGAATTTCATTCGTGTACTTACACTTTTACTTATACAAAATTAGACTTCAAATATTTAAAATGTGAAATTGTTTTTCTATACAAGTCTATCAATTACTCGATTCCTGTTATTCTAATCCCTTTAATACTTAAATTTAAAACTGATTAATGTTATATTTACCATAAGGGCCTCAATCCCTGACCTTGTACTCAAGCCATTTGGCAGCCAGAGCGACATTTGATGGCGTATACTTCACATCACTAAAGGGAGACGATTCCTGAATATTTGTTATATCATATATGCCTAACAAGTTCTTATGATTTGCTGAAATACAAACGCACTAATTGCAAACAGATATAACAATGGTCATGATATCATTTGTTAGAAGCAAATTGATATTTCCAACTCGAAAAGAATATTCATTTAAAAAAAAGTTATTATATATTCCTGTCATTCAGTGAGGACCAATTGCTGTCCTTATATATCTTTGGTTATTTTTAAGTTGAGTGGATGTATCATTGACATATGCATAGCATCTATTTTATAAGTATTACATATAGTGTTAAACTATAAGAAGTTTACAATACACCTTGTTAATTCAATCTTATCTTTCAAGTACAAAACCTCGTCAGTGCACATCATTAATTATAACATTAAGTTTTCTATCCGTTATGGAATTTAACGTCGAAGCCAGTTTTCCTGTGTATGTAGTTTCTGAAAAGGTATACACAACTATTTATTGTTAAGAAAAACAAGAGTGCACACGCTGAAATGTCTCTCCTACTATACTGCTCATAGATTTATGTTGATAGTCCTATATACAAAGTATGAAGCATCCAGGTCTTCCACCTTCTGAAATTTTAAGCTTTTAATAAGTTAGTTAACGCCGCCGCCGCCGCCGCCGCCGGATCACTATCCCTATGTCGAGCTTTCTGCAACAAAAGTCACAGGCTCGACAAAAACCTTATCAAATATACCAGGCTTAGAAATATGTACGCCAGACGCGAGTTTCTTCTAAAACAAGACTCCTCATCGACGCTGGAATCAAAATCAGTCCCATGAAATCGCCCCTAAGCAGCACTTTTGATTTATTGGTAGAACAGAACAACAATACTTTATGAATGTGTACACACAAAGTTTTTCTGAAGAGTGTATGTTATCATCTAGAATTTTTGGTTAAAATTGCACAATACTTTCGTCAGATATTTTAAGTAAACTTACACGTTTTATCAAATACTATTTTTGAAGATCGTCTCGAATTAAAACAAACTTAACGTTTAAAAGCAGATTGCACATTATTTGATATAATAATTTTATGAAATTATAATACCTTTAGTCACATCATTGCATGATCGTTTAGAACATCGTTGTCCTTGAGCAGCACACACACAATGTCCTTCACACGTGACCGCTGAACATCTTCTTAATAATTCTAATGAACCTCCAGGCACAAGTTTAAATTGTGAATGAATCATTTTGCTTTGTAATCTAATCTATAATTAACGATGCCAATTTATATAACGCAGCATTCGTTCAGTTGCAATAATAATTTGAGAAATTGATTTCAAGTGCTTATAGTACATATATTAGTTTAAAATATATTACATAAATTCAAAACAGAAGAAAATTTAATAAACACTGTGTTACAAGTTTTGGGCAGAGTATATTTTTGTTTGGAAAACACACGAATTGAATAATACGGATATTCTGAGTTTGTTTTGTTGGAATTACAATTTTTCTGATACAGTTAGGTGTGTTAATAACATTAACGATGCCAATTTTGCTGCATCAGATGCACATGTTGACAATAAATCACCTTCAGTGATTCCCGAGGCCACAATATTTGAAAATCAAAATTTATTTTAATATAAAATAATTTCCAAAATTTTGTAACAGCAAATTTGAATAAAACAGAATCTATGACTAAAAAATCCTATCTTGGTTTCCTTTATTCATAGCTGCTTCTTACAAGGAAACTACTTCAATGGTGAGCAAGTGTTTGTTTTTAATGGTGATGTAAGTAAAGTCACATAACGGTACTAATTTTACTGCACTAGATCCTATCTTTAATTAGAAAAATTTGACAGGAGCATTTGTTATGCCGTTGAAATATCTTTGTAACGGAAACTAACGATATGTTATATTTATCGTATCCAAAATGGTATTTTTCTGTAGTCGTGAATGACATCACTGAATGTAATTTGTCACCGGTATGTTTAACTTCACCTAAGAAATACAACAATTGCATCTTGTAGAGCAAGAATTGCTTCCTTTTTTAGAGCTTCTGAGTTCACCTATGATTGGTAGGGTTCATATTGCTTAGTCGTCGGTTTCTGTTCAATATTCTTTGTGAACTGTTGACTTTCTTGCTTTTTACGTTTAGCTATGGAGTTTAGGGGGCGAGTTACTACAGGAGCGGACAGAGGTTGTCCCCTTAAATTGAAAAAGAATAAGTAAAAAGTGGTAAGGTCAGCATCCCAAATAACTAAAAATCTTGGATCCTCGCTTTTGTGGGGTTATTGTATATTGAATTGCACGCCCCGTGACATCTTGTTATTTTGTCAAATATTTACTTGTTAAACGTTTTGATTTAATGATTTAAGGTAAACACATCTTACCTGGTTTACTGACCATACGCTTACAAACACGTGTTCACAGTTTGCCAAGTTTTTAGTATCCACTTCAAATGTCTGGACAAATCCTTCATCAAACTTGTCGACTCCCGACTGATTATGCTGAAATTCTTGCGGTGAACCAGATATCTAAAATTTCAATATGTTATACTAGAATACGTGGACATAACAACGCACTTTCAAACTCATCATAGATACCAGGCTCTATATTTTGTGCGCCAGACGTGCGTTTCGTAGACAAAAGACTTATCAGAGACGCAAGAATAAAAAAGATTAAATAATAACATAAACATTTCCAATTTTTCTGCACCAGATGCGCATTTCGACAATCAATGTCTCTTCAGTGATGCTCGAGGCCAAAATAATTGAAAATCCAAAGCTTATTAAAAAGATGAATACTATAAACCAAAAAGGACAAAAAAGTTTATCCAAAGACGGACAAGGAATCAGAGCTTTGTATGAGGGAGATATATTCCTTAATTTAAAATAATTTCCAAGATTTTAATTTGAAACAGCAAACCTAAATAACACAAAATACATATCTTCATGTCAGTATCGAAGTACCGATGTTAAAGAGGCCGAATGAAGTATGAAGTTGAACGGCATTAGGTTACTAAAATTCCGTAAGGTGTTGCTAACTTGAAAGCATTATTTCGCTAGAATGGTCTTCAGAATAGTGTTTCACTGATGAAAATAGTATCGTTCTCTTATGTTTATCACTGCATACTTTAAATTTCATTTCAGTCAAATGATAGTTTATTATTGTCTCATAATATCCGAGTGTTGATATTAAATGACCACAATATTGAAAATTAGCTTTTTACCTTATTAAAATCATCTGTCATATACTTGCTGCCAAGGGAAACAAAGTACTTGTCTATTCCAATATGAAGATCTGTGAACCCTAACCATGACAACCAAAGCTTATACCTTGACCAAGTCGTCCAGCCATCGACATGGCGATGTAGATTTGCTGCATGATCAGTTTTTATTGCAAACATACCTAGCAAAACAAGTGAGCATTTGATATACTTGAAATTCCATTTATTTTTCGAAGAAACGAAAAATAAACCAATATCAGGCAAAAACACAAAAAGTCAGCATTCAAATTGTATAAGATAGAAACATCCCACATTGACAATGTTAAAACATCATTGCAAATACATAACACGACTATATGGCATCGAAATTGGGTATCATTATTAACTACTGTAAATTCAGAAATTATTGCGATGTTTTTATTATTGCAAAAAATGCGACAGGGTTTTAATAGCAATAATTTAAACTTGCATTTTGAAATTTTTTAAATGAATTAAACAAGATTTTTCTCAATTTCGCAAAAATTAGTATCGCATTTTAGTCTAAAATGACAAAATTGCAATACTAAATGCTTAATAATAATTTCTGAATTTACAGTATATTTTATTCTTGTGAAATATTCCGTGGTCTTTAGTGTTATTTTTCATATCAACACGATTGAATATTTCGCTTTAAATGTATACAAATTTTTTTAACGAGGTTACCAGATTTCATGTACACGTGACATTGAACTTTAGGCTTAGGGTTCAAATACAGATCAGAACGCTTTTTATAACATGTTTAAATTACCCGATGTTGGTGGAGAACTGTCTATCACAATCCCTTTAGATTCGACTTCAACACATATTTTGGCACCATTACAAACGATGAGTTTAATCGTATAATTACCACCATCATGTAAATCAAGTTGTGAAAATGTATACTCTCTAACTATGCCATTTAACTACAAAATAAAACAAAGGAAATATGCAGATTGTTCTTATTTACTTCATTTATTTAAAAAAAAAACGTGTAATCCGAAAAATCCTTTATATTTATGTAACAGAAGTCTAACACTGATTGTTTGATTTTAATGTAAGTTTGATTAAACGTTTTTTAGGGAATACACTCGGCCATTGTTAAAAAGTGATATGAAATACTCAGCACAGCTATTAAATGTCCTATTCGTCTTCACTTTTTTAATTTTTATTTCCGGATTTTAGAATAAAGTACTTCTGGATTGCACTAAAAACACTTATCACTAATTATTAAAGACGGTACACTAAAATTATGTTTCTCTTCAAAAATCGAAAAAGAACACTTTATATATTTCATGCGTCCGAAGCAATTATGGGTTAACCTTCAAAATGAACGCTCAAAACCGAATATGTGATGCATGAGGATATATAAGAACACAAACAGTTGAAGCTTTATGAGTTATATAAGCTATCTAAGTTGTATTAATTACCTCAGTGGAAGATGTATTGAATTCACCTCCTTTATGTGATGCAATGGAGAGGTACTGGCGCTGTATAAACGATTCTTTGTCTTCTACCTCCCAATATATTTTTATGGTACTTCTAAATACTACAGAATTGTCTTTTATTGAACCTAAATCGGTTGCCAAGTACGGTTTAACCTTTAATAACGGTGGCGAGTCGTCTATGAAAAAACCGTTTGAATTGGCTTCTGTACTTAGTCCTGCAAATCAAATGGTAATAAGTCGTAAATCATTTTCATATAAACTTAGGGAAAAACATCCAGAAAAGAGTAAGAAAAAAAAAGGAAAATATATTGGATGTCTTAAAAAAATTCACAAACATATTCACAGGCTTTTTAAAATCAAATGACCAATTGAGCTAATAGATTAATTCTGAACAAAAAATACTAAGATACGAAAATAAGATTCATATTTTTGTTTTATTTGTAATCATATGTAATAAATTAAAACATAACATACAAGTTAACATTCTGACAATGTTGTTTTGTAGGATTTTATTAAAATAGTGCATAAATCATTTGAACAGAAATATATATTATATAAATCAACATCATATACCTGCTTTATTATAAGCTTTTATCGTTACATAAATACGCTGTCCTGCTGGTATTTTATGTAGTAAATCTGGCTCCACCAAGATATCGGAGCGTGGTAGATGAGTGGATTTTACAATATCATCGGATCCTGGTTTTGTTCCGACTCGCCATGCAAATCTGTCTATGCCTGATTGTGGATCTGTAAATCCATACCATTTTGCAGAAATGTAATTTCTGTGCGAAATAGATTAGAAAAGAAATTACTACTTGTAAAAGTTTTTAACTTTCAATTACAATGCACTGTCTGAATGTTTATTTGTTACATATCAATACAGAATAACAACAACAAGTGTATAGCCTGTAGTTCGGACAATGTGAGAACTATTTATGTATAAATATACATAATGGTGACCCATATCCACTTTGAAGAAATATATCAAATGTTTTCTCTTTTGTACGTTTGACTGACCTTAATGACTGATATTCCCAGTCGTAGACATCTACACCATCTAGCACTATTCCTTGTGTTTGTGGACTGTTGTCAATAATAATACCATCTGACGTCACAGATGTGCACATTTCTGCTGTATTACACGATGTGATTGTTGTATAGTATCGTATACCGGATCCCAAATGCATATGACAGAGGGTAAAATCTGACAAAATACAACTCATTTTAAAGATCAAACACATTCAAAATAATTCAACATAATAGGAGCACACATTTTAAAATCTTATGTCACAACATTTGAATTTAACAACAATGTGCAACTCATTTTTGAAGACATTGTTTTATCAGATATCATTTGTTTTATAACCACTAATCAGTTGTTTGCATGAAAAGCATTGTAAAACTGTTGCTCATACTAATCTTCATAAAACAGCTCAGCATAACATGATATTCATACTACGTCAATTTTAGATACGAACCGACTGTTATACCATTTTGTTTAAAACTTGTCGTACATATCTTCTTTACATAATTGTATTCATTGAAAAAGAAGGAACTAAAGTCCTTGACCATTGTGACTCCCTTGACCAATAAATGGTTGCTTCTTAGGCTGTTGTTAAACATTCCCAAATATTCTAAAGCTGATTAATACATTTGTACGTTGTTCACTCTATGAGAAATTACAACTGTATCTTTTGACTTATTGAAGCACCAACCTTAAGCTTGTGAAATACATTCAACAAAAACCACCAAGCCATTGTACGAAATAAAATAATAAAACCACTTACTATTGAATATTCCAATATCCTGATTGACTAATACATCTTCACACTTAGGGCAAGTTCCTATGCTGACATAATATGACTTGATAGTAGAATGTGGATCATGAAATCCTTCCCAGTAAGCCGATAAAGTCTTCACGTCCGTCTGGTAATCTATATCTTTCATATAAGAAGCAGCAGTTTCTTGTCTACCATCGTATACATGACCTGCAACTGGGGGCGACATGTCATATATGTAAGCCCAGGAGGAAGCGGTACTTATTAGATTGGCTCTATTTACAGCCTTTGAGAATAAAAAAAGCAAAACTGTAAAAAGAAGAGTTTTATATTTAAGTTTAATGAGGCGAAGATTATTTAAAATGGATTTTTTGTTTGTTGAATTTATTTCTATTTAATAATAATCTTTGAAAATAAATTAATTCATAGATCAGTTTTATAAATCAAAATAATAATACGTTATACAAAACATCATTTCCATCAATAAAAATCGAATTCGTCACATCATCTGAACACTTTAACACAAATAAAGGCAACAGTAGTATACCGCTGTTCGAAACTCATAAATCGATAGAGATAAAAACAAATCCAGGTTACAAACTAAAACTGAAGGAAACGCATCAAAAAAGAATTTAAAAGAATAGGGATCTATTTGATACTTTCATGCGCTTATAAATTAACTAGTGTAAAGTGAAAATTTGTTTTATCAATAACCAAATGACCTATGTACTATCAAAAGGAATAGTTTCTTCATTAGTTAAAACAATACCAAAAAGAAACCAGACCAAAACGAAAAATTGAAATTACATTAACTCTTAATGAAGTGATAAAAAGTGCTTCTGCATGATAGGCATTTCCTGCTGAGATTGCATCAACCTTAGTTAGATAATTACCAAGTTATAGTCAAAGCAATTGTAATAGGCATGAACATTGGCAAAAAGGTTATAACGTTATTTGCCGAATTTGATATCCGTTTGAACAAATTTGTTTAGGCATATCTCCCACTTGTTGGTCTTGGTTGTCAAGAGCGTACGTGTTGGAGGTTGTCCTAGAAATACGTGTCATTTGCGCCGAAATCGATAACATTTCTTTAAGTAAACTCAGGACAAACGTTTTGCTTTCAAAAATAATTTAATAATATTATCAGCTGTGATGAGTTGTGATATTGTGTAAGCTGTTATAAAATTAAGACAGCCATGTCATCAATATTAGATTCTTATTTCCTTATTTACCTTAACTGTGATGAAGTAAGCGTGGCCTTCATGAATTTCAATTGTCTTATCTTCAGCTGACACACCACAGTCTAACACAGTCTTTGTAAATGATATGACACCATCATGCCCAGGATGGGATCCTATCGACCATAGGTAATGGTAAAAATGTTTTAGTACAACCAACTTTATTGATCTGTTGAAACAGTCAGTGCACAAAGGGTATACACTATTTATATTGTTTATGATATTGACTGTTAGAAAATACAGTTTTACATTCATTATACAACTACTTAATTCTAAGTAAGTTAAAGGACTCACGTTTCCTTTTGACAACAGAAAGTCTATAGAATTTATTGAGATATATTTTTCAAGTTTAGAAACGAGACGAAATATAACAAAGGAAGAATCAAAACTCATAAATCGAAGAGAAATCGACAAAATATTGGCAAACAACAAAACTTAAAAAAAGGGGAATCAGCAGTCAACAAGTCACTACATAAAAATCTAAAAACTGAGCAATAGTACTTAGTTATTCAAACAAAGCACAGTGTATATAAATGTACATGTTATCAATATAATAATATATTTTTTGTTAAAATATAAAACTAAAATCTAGCTCCTGCATATTCCAAATCCTTGAATTGTTTTTATATTTGTTGTATATATGGTGATGAGTTTATAAAACAATTCTAAAAAAGACATTCATCATAAAAATATTTTTGAATTTCTAACATTTTAGCGATGCTAGTAGTATATCAATTTTCAAAAGTCAAATGTGACAGGATGTTGAACAGATCTTTGATTTTATAATTAAAAATTCCATGCATCTCGCAAAAATATCCTTCTGACAATGACCAATGTATATTAACTTTAGGTTTTTGAGATTTTTCCACTGTCGAAATTCCATAATATACATATGTCATTATGTTTCCTCTTTGTATTAATAATTAAAAACAAGCGAAGAGTTTTTTTTTTTTTTACAATGATAATGCTTGACCTTTTATTTCGGTGGAATATTTCAATGCATACAGTCATATCTACAGTTTCATATCATTTTATAAAAAAACAAGGAAATAATGTTAGAATTATAGATTTATACATTATGCTAATACATGACCTTTATTCGATTAAAACATTGTAACGACCATATTTGAAACCGCAATGGCATATTAATTAAAAAAAAAAAAACGGGAAACAGCCGTTATTGTGTCACTTTCAGTTAAGGAATAACAAATAAAATTAAATCATGTTTCTACTCCTTACCAAATATGGACAAAAAAGTGACAGGAAACAATCGTCGAAATTAATAAAAATAATGGAATTAATCAAGGAAGGTTCAGTTGAGGTTTAACTAACGGTCAGGTCAGAGAACAGGACAATGGTACAAGTAATGTACAGGTATGTCACTATGTGTAATTGTTCAAATTCAATAATTGATAACATACAATTTGAAAAAAGAAAACAATATACGTCCATACTGCAAAAAAGAATCATGAACCCAATCAGAAGGCGGTTAGATATAGGTGTTTCGGAAACGAGCTTATGGATACGATAAGTGGTGCATATCTTTAGTCATACCTGAGACAGATACTAATATTCTATAACGGTCGACCGTTATTATAACCTTCGTAAGCGATGACCTTGCCGTAAAAAAAATCTTATTTCAGTAGTTTCACTGAAAGCTGCAGCGCCCTACAAAAATAATACTTATAGGAGATAAACCTATCATACCGGTAGATACCAGAATTGAATTTTAGTATGCAAGACCCGCGTTTCGTCTACAAAAGACTCAACAGTGACGCTTGTATAGAAAAAAAAGTCAAAAAGGCCAATATAGAGCAGGAAGTTATCGCAAGTCAACTTGTAGATATATACTGCTAATTTGTATTGATCATATTTAATTTTAGGGTTAAAGGGCTGATAATAAAGTCAACTAATTAATTTTGTTTGAATAATTCTTTAAAAAAATATTCTTCATATGTTTTTTTCAGAGATTGGTATACATTGTTAATAAGAATGCTGATATATATTTTCCCAGCTCATGTCACGTTTCCAAACATTCCATGTGATATCCAATGCCGTTGTTGGGAGAATCTTCACACAAATTATTCCGTTTGTTCTGGTAGTAACTTGACAAAAATACTAAACATTCCTGCTGATACAAATGTTCTGAATTTGAATCGTAACGCCATTATGCGTATACGTAGCAGAGCTTTCCAAAATTTGAACCGTCTTACAGACTTGGATATCAGCAAGAACAGATTGAAACATTTAGAAAAGGAATCATTTTATGGTCTCGGTAATTTGAAAACACTATGCTTACAGAACAATTTTTTATCATACAAGTCAACCTTTCCAAAAGGCATTTTCAAACCGTTACAATCCTTGATTTACCTGAATATTAAGTTTAATGCAAACTCCAGTGAACCAGATAATTTTTCAGATGAAACGATATCGGACCTTGTAAGTTTGGAAAATTTGGAATTGGATATTGCTGACAAGAGTTCGTGGCATGAGCCTTTTTTGTCACAGTTTTCTACTCTAAAACATTTAAAAAAATTGACGAGAGGATTGTGCGAGTTGTGGGCACTTAGACGGAGAACATTTATAAACGTCATTCGTTTACAGTACTTAGACTTGTCAACATGTCCTATACAATTAATCTACAACGGTTTTTTGTCAAAATTAAGTAATCTGAGACACTTTGACGTTTCAAACATTGTCTTGTTTATAGACGAATACCTTCTACTATTCAACGAAGTAGCATCAATACAAATACAACAGCTGGTTATGGCAAACACATCTGATTGTGTAATATCAAATTTCCCAGTCTCTGTATTTAAACTTTTGAATAATACAGGTCTAGAAGAATTTTATCTCAACAATAATGTGTTTTCAGATGCGTCAGGAAACCAATGTGAAGACGTACTACCTGCTTCCGTCAGACTTTTGGATTTTTCTTCCAACAGACTAATGAAGTTTTGTTTCCACATGCCATTTTTGAAAAATCTTTATTTACAAAATAATTCTTTGGGATCTTTTCTTAGATTTAATCCGTTTATGCGATCCACAACTTCACAGTTAGAATCTGTTGATTTGTCTTTTAATAATATTTACGGACTGAAATTTTCTATATTTCAAGGACATACACAATTACAAACGCTCAATCTTAGCAACAACAATTTACACAATATAGATTTCGACATTTCGAAAATGAAAGTTTTGAAACAACTAGATTTGTCAAATAACTTTATCGGAACATTTAGTCAAGACAACATGGACACTTTTACCAACATGTTTAAAGTATCTAGTTTACGAATAGATTTAGGATACAATGTGTTGCGATGTGGTTGTTTATCTACTCACTTTTTACGATGGATGTTGAATAACAATAACCATTTCCATAATAGTATTGTATATACTTGCAAATTTGAAAATGGTACATCGCTTCTACTCGATGATCTTAGCGAAACAGTTCTACAGCTGGAAAAGGAATGCGACAAGCACATAGTAATAATAATCGTTGTTACTATAGGAATAGCCTTTAGTGCCATAACTCTTACTGCTGGTTTAGCTTATAGATATCGATGGAAAATACGTTATATTTACTATATAACAAAAGGCAAATACACCAAATTAAAACATGCAGAGACCAATAAAATATACTTGTATGACGCATTTATTTCGTATGCCGACAGAGAGCAGAATTTCATTATCAATGAATGCATTCCAAATCTAGAAGAAAATGGAAACAAAAAGTTATGTATCCATCAGCGAGACTTTATTCCTGGTGTGGACATTACGCTGAATATAACGAATGCCATTCATGATAGCAAGAAAACTATTTATATAATCACCAGGGCATTTCTAGATTCTTATTACTGTATGTTTGAATTCAATATGGCGAGAATGGAAAGTATTTACTCTAGGAGAGGAGAAAACATTTTGTTTTTAATCTTACATGAACAAATTCCATCAAGGGAGCTACCATTAGTTATGCTAGAAATCGTACAAAGACAATCTTATATAGAATATCCTAATGATGAACAAGGGGACGTCGTGTTCTGGGATAAGATTAGAGAAACCTTAACTTAAGGTCAATTCTAAGTTTTTCACAGAACAAAAACAGAATAATGGGATGAAAACAGAAAACATGTTTTATGTCTTTCTGTCTGTGGAATAAATAATCAGGAAAATCATCGGAAAAGTTATGTTAAAATTATAAATAAAAAAAGGGTTGATATGCATGGGAATCAATTTATTATAATTACAATTATTTGTATATTAAATGTCAAAACGTTGTTTGTTTGTGAAACTATTTTCATGTTTTGCGTGTAATGTGTGCATGTGTAATGTTAACCGAAACTACCACAGTGTATGCTTAAATTAATCCAAAGTTGTTATAATTGGTATCCTTACCATTAAAAATCTACACTAATGCAGATTCGGAAGATGAATAATCAGAAGAAGCAGCTTTCGTAGGGTCCGTTGGTTCTTTATCGTTTCCGTGTTTATTTACGATTCTAACTTATATACAAACTTGTAACTAGTAAAACAGCCATTATAACAATGTTTGCGTGGCAATTCCTAAATAGTTTTACATTTAACATTTTTTGTCAGTACAAAACGCTGACATATACGACAACACTATTAACAATATCATACGTGACATAATCAATAAAACCAACGATTGCTTTTTTTTTTATTTTGAGAGATTTTTTTGAGAGAACGAAAAACTGTGAAAGATATTCTTGAATCTTATATTCAAAAGATCTGAAAGTGTATGCAGGGTGAAACAAATATCAATACAGCAAATTCAATCGTAGATTTCAATGTTTGAACCATAATGTCTAAAGGAAATATATATATTGAAATGTACAAGATGTCCGATTTAATTGTTTAAAACCAACTTGCATAATTTTTCATCTAGTTTCGTAATCGATGCGACAAAACATAAATATTTTAGGAGACAAAACGTGTTTTGAAATTAATAGCTATAAATTATTCAGAGTTTACGATAAAAAAAATTATAAACTGTTTTATAGATAACCGACATAATCTATTCCGGATTTTTTAGTCATTTTCTTTATATATAAGTTTTCATAAATATATTTGTTTAAAACCTCATCTTGCTTATTTCCAAATAGTAAATTAACCCTAGAAATTTCTTTTTCCTATACTCCTTACTAGATACTCTGTAGTAAATCTTTACGCACTACATTCCTAACTAAATAATTCACTAGTAAATCTCACGCACTACACTCCTTACTAGATACTCTCTAGTAAATATCACGTGCTACACTCCTTAATAGATACTTCACTAGTAAATCTCCCGTGCTACACTCATTACTAGATACTTTTCTAGTAAATATCACGTACTACACTCCTTACTAGATACTCTCTAGTAAATCTCACGTGCTACACTCCTTACAAGATACTCTCTAGTAAATCTCACATGCTACACTCCTTTCTAAATACTCTGTAGTAAATCGATACTTGTTACATTCCTTAATAGATACTTCACTAGTAAATCTCACGTGCTACACTCCTTACTAGATACTCTCTAGTAATTATCACGTGCTATACTCCTTACAAGATACTCTCTAGTCATTCTCACGTGCAACACTCCTTATTTGATACTCTCTGGTAAATCTCACGTACTACACTCCTTACTAGATATTTAACTAGTAAATCTCACGTACCACACTCCTAACTTGATACTTCTCTAGTTAATATCACGTACTACACTCCTTACTAGATACTCTCTAGTAAACCTCACGTGCTACACTCCTTACTAGATACTCTCTAGTAATTCTCACGTGCTATACTCTTTACTAGATACTCATTAGTCATTCTCACGTGCTACGCTCCATACTATATACTTTTTAGTAAATATGACGCACTACACTCCTTACTAGATATTCTCTAGTAAATCTCACGTGCTACACTCCTTACTAGATACTCTCTAGTAAATCTCACATGCTACACTCCTTACTAAATCCTCTCTAGTAAATCGATACTTGTTACATTCCTTAATAGATACTTCACTGGTAAATTTCATGTGCTTCACTCCTTACTAGATACTTCTTTAGTAAATATCACTTGCTACACTCCTTACTAGATACTCTCTAGTAATTATCACATGCTACACTCCTTACTAGATACGTCCCTAGTAAATCTCACGTGCTACACTCCTTACTAGATACTTTTCTAGTAAATATCACGTACTACACTCCTTACTAGATACTCTCTAGTAAATCTCACATGCTACATTCCTTTCTAAATACTCTGTAGTAAATCGATACTTGTTACATTCCTTAATAGATACTTCACTAGTAAATCCCACGTGCTACACTCCTTACTAGATACTCTCTAGTAATTATCACGTGCTATACTCCTTACTAGATACTCTCTAATCATTTTCACGTGCTACACTCCTTACTTGATACTCTCTGGTAAATCTCACGTTCTACACTCCTTACTAGATATTTAACTAGTAAATCTCATGTACCACACTCCTAACTTGATACTTCTCTAGTTAATATCACGTACTACACTCCTTACTAGATACTCTCTAGTAAACCTCACATGCTACACTCCTTACTAGATACTCTCTAGTAATTCTCACGTGCTATACTCTTTACTAGATACTCATTAGTCATTCTCACGTGCTACGCTCCATACTATATACTTTCTAGTAAATATGACGTACTACACTCCTTACTAGATACTCTCTAGTAAATCTCACGTGCTACACCACTTACTAGATACTCTCTAGTAAATCTCACATGCTACACTCCTTACTAAATAATCTCTAGTAAATCGATACTTGTTACATTCCTTATTAGATACTTCACTAGTAAATCTCACGTGCTACGCTCCTTACTAGATACTCTCAAGTAATTATCACGTGTTACACTCCTTACTAGATACTCTCTTGTCATTCTCACGTGCTACACTCCTTACTTGATACTCTCTAGTAAATCTCACTCACTACACTCCTTACTAGATATTTCACTAGTAAATTTCACGTACTTCACTCCTTACTTGATACTTCTCTAGCAAGTATCACGTACTACACTCCTTACTAGATACTCTCTAGTAAATCGCACGTGCTACACTCCTTACTAGATACTCTAGTAATTTTCACGTGCTATACTCTTTACTAGATACTCTCTAGTCATTCACACGTGCTACACTCCATACTATATACTTTCTAGTAAATATGACGTGATAAACTCCTTACTAGATACTTCACTAGTACATCTCACGTGCTACACTCCATACTAGATACTCTCTGGTGAATATCACGTGCTACACTCCTTAGTAGATACTTCACTAGTAAATTTCACGTACTACACTCTTAACTAGATACTCTCTAGTAAATCTTACATGCCACACTCCTTACTAGATAATATCTTGTAAATTTCACGTGCTACACTCCTTACTAGATACTTCACTAGTAAATTTCACGTGCTACACTCCGTACTAGATACTCTCTAGTCGATCTCTACTTGCTACATTCCTAACTAGATACTTCACTAGTAAATACCACGTGCTACACTCCTTACTAGATACTCTAGTAAATCTCACGTGCTACACTCCTTACTAGATACTCTCTATTAAATATCACGTGCTACAATCCTTACTAGATACTCTCTAGTAAATATCGTGTGCTGCACTCCTTATTAGGTACTCTCTTTTTTTTTTTTAACGTGACTAATATATTTCATTGCACACTATTGCTGTTAAAAAAATTACTTAGTGTACAGCATTGCACTAAGTATCCCTGATATATTAGTTATTAGGTATCCAGGGAGAATATCTAATAAAAGTAAATTGATGTTACATTACAATATTTCAATATTTTAAATGATTTCATGTTTACAGGAGATTTTCACTTCCATCCGATAATGGTTTTTAATATTAGTTAAATGTGCATCGTGTAGGTTACAATACACCATTAGATTTTATGGGCGCAGCCATTTTATGAGCATAACATGGTATTCAGAATTAAGAGTATAGCTAATCCTGATTGGTTGATATGTGCGCCCGTTATTTTTTGTTATTAGAGACTTCGTGCATTCTGCATTATACCAAAGGCCAAATAAATTATTTTCCTTAGCCCTAACGGAACTGAGATGTCTTTTAAACGCTAGGATGAGACACGTATTTTTAAGTGCAAAATTGATAGGCATGGGAGATAAGTACAAATTACGCTAAGAAAAGCAACGCGAACCTATATTTTTTGGACCAAAAAATACGGTCCTAATAACTTTTCTTTAATTCTAGCAAGGTTTCGTTAAAAAAATCAACTTTCTGAAGTCTGTATCTCAAAAAAGGCTATCATTGTCGCCTATGGGGAAATTAATTGTTTATTTCAATCTATACAGCGTCGACATTTCTTTATCCTAGTGCTCAAAAAGTGTCAAAAACAGTAATTTTACTTGGTATTGGATGTGAAACCGTATTTTTTGGTGACAAATGAATTATTGATTAACTAGTTTTTAAGCTATAGTCTGTTTCATTTTTGTATTGCTTTTTACCTTAGAAGCATGGGTGGGTTCGACTTTTGACTTACTGTGGAGAGAATATGTCAATTTCTGAACTTCTGCTGATTTGTTTGAAAAAAGCACGTACACGTCTAGAGTTTGGATATACAAATCGATTTTTAAACATGACAATCTCGATCCAAGTGCTGTTATCGAAATTACCAAATTCAGTGAAAATGTACAGAAATGATCCCCATCGAACATTGAAATGTTCACTCGAATGACAGACTATAAAAAAAAGAATAGGCATGACATTTTGTAGTTAACGAATAGTTCTCGATGCTTAAACACAAATATTTACACATTTTTCATATTTTGAAATGCTATAGTCTGTTTCAAAAATGTACTTTTATACGAAAATGGTTTCATTTAAAACTGTTGTTCAAAATTCACCGTAGTATACATATTGGATCGGTTTTGGTATCAATATAATCAGTACTTGGTGACATACAAAGAATCATTGGAGAAAGTGGACATTATCTTCAGGCCCTTTTTAGCAGTACCGCATTTACTCAAAAAATCTGAATTTTTTTCCCCCCATTTTTTGACTGGGGTCACCTCTGATAAAAAAAATTGTGAAAATTCAGAGAGTAATGCCAGAACGTTTTGAAGATGATTTTTGTGTGGCATATATATTTGTGCATATAACGAACTATGAATTGCATGATTCTAGAAAGTATTAAATACCGTATAGGTTACAATACACCATTAGATTTTATGGGCGCAGCCATTTTATGAGCATAACATGGT